ACAAAAAAAGAACGAGCAATAACCAGATCTTTCCATGCCATTGGCCTTGGTGTCTTTCGGTTGATATGGATCAGTGAGTCTAAATTTGCCTTTCCGCTCAAGGTTCGCTCTAGACTTCTTAACCTGTGCGCACAAAAGAGAGTGGTTGAAGATGACTAGAAGTCCAGAACCTGGAACCTGAAACCTGGAAAATCCGGACGCGCAATATGAACGACGATGGATAACCAGAAAGGATGGAAGTATAGGAAGATGCTATGGAAAAGGAATCAGGATGGTAACGAAAGTGCAGTGGCTTAGGCAACAAAATATAAAAGAAAATAAATAAAGAAAGAGCAGGTGGCCTAACGAACCTTCTTCGGATGCTATGGTAACCGTAGAGGATGAAGAAGTGAGTCGGTATCTATACCAAAAAAGATTTAAAAAACTTTTACAACCCAATATATCGTGCTAACAGACATATGCCATACTCTAACAGAACCACTGCGAAGAGTGGTATGTGCATGTTAGTGATTAGCCCACCCTTGCTTGCCAGTCAACCGTTTGATCTCCCCTTGAATCTTTCTGTGGTCGTTGTAAAGTAGGCAATGAGGTTCTTCGTTTCACTTGTTAGTTATCTTCGAGATCTTCAGACCTCAAACCTCCGGCTCAGTGGGATCACTGCCGAAGACCGCCTGGCGGCGGTACCTGACCCTCATTCAGTCTATGGCAGGACCCAAACGATCACCACTTATTTCAGACTCACCTGAAAAGTCCGAGGCTCCGCAAGTGCGGTAATTGGTACCATACGGACCTGGTGTTTCAGAGGCCATTGATTTATGAGGCTTACGAAACAGAACAGGCAAGTGCTGATGTCATATCCTTATTTCCTGAACCCGTCCACATCCCGTTTAGGGCACAGTCAGCCTAGCGGCTCGCGGACGGGATCGTGATGGCCCGGGCTCTCCGGGAAGGATTCGAAAGAAAGGTTCGAGAAACCTTCCCGCATATGGATCTCACGATGGTACTGTATTGTTGCTTGCCCATGGGGCATCGTTAGTTTACTGGCGCACTGGCGCACTGGTCACCTAGGTACGCACGTAAGAAAGGAGGCGAAGCATGGGAGACATGGGGAGGCATAGCATGGGAAGCATGGAATGGTAAGCGTGAGATCAATCCGGCATGTGGTCGCGTGCCTAATTGCCTGTTAGGGCCGTTGGTGCTCTTGGAGCTGTTTGGTGACATGCCTCATGTTGCGCTTACGGGTATCGCATCTGTTGGTCGTTCGTCGATGTTGAATGACGATAAGCGCAGCTTGCCATCTTTGGGTGTGCGAAACGCGGAGTAGCAGAGGCTGAGATGAAAGATGCTGCACGGACGAATATCGAAATCTCCGGACCGGGACCGGGGCGGGAAGGTTTCATGTTGTTGGAGAACTGCAACTTTGAGGCTTCCACCGCACATCACTGGATTCTGGAAACCGAATCTGTCTGCAAGGCACCGGACTTGTCGAGACCCGGACCAAGAAGTCTGGAGAAATAGCACGGACCTTTTCCTCCATCGGTGGTTGAAACCTCACGGACCTTTTCCTCCATCGGTGGTTACGAAACCTCAACAAAAGATGAAAAAAAAAAAAAAAAAAAAACCCCGACGGGCGACAAGACAAGAAGAAGAAAGGGGGTAGAAAATCACTTGTTCCTGAATTGGAAGATTCGCTGTGTTCGGGGAAGTGACCTGAGCGCTGAATGGGAAAGCTAGTGGGATCGGTTACACGGCCCGGGGTGGGGGTTATTCGGGGACGGCCGGGGGTCTTGGATTGGGAATTTGGGGTTTTAATGGAGTCTTTTTTTTGGAGACAACATCTCTTCAGAATGTAAAGATCGACCAAGATGTCAGCGGTTAGAAGCGGTCAGCTGTTTGTGAGGACTGATCGTCGATCCTGAAATATTTCTTCAGTTTGGCTTCTCTGACAAGACGGAAGACGGGGCTTGGTCTCCCCAAACGGAAGGACACAAGCCAGAAACTGGAAGATGATGAACAGCAGACTGCAGAGTGGTTTTGAAGAAAGACAGAAAAGGTGATATGCAGAAGATAGGGGGTGGATGAAAGGTCTTGGTTTCTCTTGGATCATCTCCTTGAGATGTTGGATACTGATAGATTTGCTGGAAAGCCTTCTGGAAATGGGTAGCGGCTGGTTGATGTTGGCAAGGGTTGACAGCCACAGAATTAAGAAGAAGGGGACCCCTAAGATTATCCAGGTTTTGGCCGGTTGACGATCGATCCAATTGCCATTGTCGGTACGGTGCTGTCGTTTGTGGCTGTTTGTTGGTTACCTTTCCTGAAAGCATGTGATTGAGGGTGAGCGATCTCCTGTCAAGATATAGGAACACTGGAGACTGGCTGTGTTGATGGATGATGATATCCCGACGATGAAACAAGCACAGGCCCTAGCGGTAGGGCAATGGAACCCCACAAATAGGAACAGGAGCGTTGCAGCCGGGAGAGAGGTGTCGCTACTGTCGCATGATTCTGGTTCATTTTGGGACCGTGTTCGTTACCAGGTAGCTTGAAGTTGTTATGTCCGAGGTATCCAATGTTTAGCATCAGCATCAGTGGTAATCTCGGAGACCGGCGATAACAGTTACTGGGAGTTATGCGAGTGAGGTGACCGGCAAGGACGGCATCCTCTCATGAGGGTTGTGAACTTGTGATTGATGGAAGAGGTAAAAGCTGACGAATCCCCATGGCAAGCATTCATGATAGAAAATGGAAATGGACGAGAAGCATTCGACAGAACACCCCAAAAGTTGAAGCGGGTGCGACACTGTGTGAGCCTAGACCGCCACTTCCCCAAAAGCACTGTGGTGGTTTCAATTGTCGCAATTGCTGAATCAATTTGCAATCTCAGGACAGCTGCATCCCCGTACCTGCTGGATTTGTACCTGTGCTACTGCAAGGCACACAAAGTCGTTCTTGCCTGCCGGGTCCATCACTTCTACTACCTTTCAACAGTCTCATTCCATCATTTTTTCTTCCTCCAAAAATAAGAAGACCATTCCAGTCAATGAAGAAAACCAACCCCAACACCACAGCATCGTCAGCTTGCGATCCAATGCTGCCCGCCATTTCGCGATTCCCCTTCCCTGGCAAAGTGCAACCGACCTTGGCCGGCAACCGTGGTGGCCAAGAGTTGGCACATGCTTGGACTCTTGGCGGCCGTCTTGGCTCGCATTGCCCGGACCAAAGAAATTCGACGGCAGATTGAAGTCCCTCTCTTGGCGGGAAGATACAGTGTGCGATTGTGTGCCAAGTTACAGCACTGCACCCCTCATCCCTCGGACTTCTTCAGCGCATCTCACACCAAAGGTTACAGGCCTCGAAATGTCTTCTCCTGGATCCGCCACCGTTTCTCGCTTGACAGAAATATCGAGACGATATATCGGCCAGTCCATGACATTGCCCTAAGTCTAAGATTGCGGTTGATATCTATCCCTTTTCTACAGTCTTGGGCAGCTTGTTGACTTTTTTGTTACACAACAACAGCAACAACAACGAGCTCGTACGACATCAAGTTCTGACAACAAGTCCACTATAACAAGGGGAAGGGAACACTGGAAAGGAACACCCGCACGGTCACGGAGCGACGTCGTCAACCTGGGCTTGAAACCCCCGTCCACCGTCCCCCCGACCCCCGTACGGCGGCCCCCAAAAACCGAAATCCCCAAAAAGTCCAACGGCGGTCGGTCCCGGTCCACAAATCCTCCACAGTCCATCTCCAGGACCCTCCTTGTGGACACTACTGCACTAAACACCCTCCACCATCCATCCCTCTTTTTCCCCCCTTCCACTTCCACTGCAGTCGGCTTTGCATTTCATCTCGATTTCCGGTTCCTGTTCCTGTCCAACTTTCTCAGTCATTCTTGTGACGCGACCACGCTTCCCTTTTGCATTGGGCATTCCCACTTTTGCCAACCACTTTTGCCAACCACTTTTGACTATTTCGAGTCGGCCACTCCTTTCGACACTGAATTAGTTTAATCCATACAAGACCGACGCCGACGCCGACTAGTACGGACGGAAGAGACACACACAAGAGAGGCCCCCTTTCGATGCCCCGCCTACGCCTACAACGCCATCCTCGATAGCGCCCTGCCCGCCATCTTTACCACCCCCTATCGCTAGCCCGTCTCTAGCTCCGCCCGGCCGCGTGTACCTGGATTCCGCATCTTTTTATGCTTTGCCGGCCCCGTCTTCCCGGTCAACAACTCCCGACTTCTACTTTACGGTCTCACCTCTTTTAATATCCGGCCGCATACACCCTTTTTTTTTTTTGTCTCGCCTCACGTTTTGCTGATTCGGCCGACGGCATCGGACACAAAACCAAGGAATCAGAGACAGCTTGACGCCGCCCTGTCTTGTGCTTCCGAACCTACTCCGGAGCTGGTCACTTCTATTGTCTAGCCGCCAAACTCCCTTAATACTTACTACACAATTAGCTATTTGCGTCTCTGGACGTTCATCCCACACGATGAGCGCTCAGAGCAAAAAGAACATCAAATGGGTTGAGGTAAGCCTTTGCCGTTCCCGTTCCGAACCCCCCCCTTCTGTACTTCCGTCCAAGTACCTTGCTGACCACCCTTCTTCGGGCAGGGCCTCCGTGGCATCACCTCCGCCCTCGTTATCGCGACACATCTTGCCCGAGCGTTGGACTTTCCGCTCTTCTGGCCTGCCGATGTTAAGGACGGCGCCCCGAGGTTGCTACAAATTCCATACCTTCGAATTCCCTGGCAGGGTCGTCTCGGCGTTCCGATCTTCGCCTTCCTCACAGGCTTCGTCTGCGCGGCCAAGCCCTTGAAGCTCGCATACATCCAAGGGAACCACTCGGCCTCCCTCAAGACCGTCGCCCGGTCTGCCTTCCGACGACCCCCTAGGCTGGTCCTCCCGGCCGTCATCGCCACCCTCATCAGCTTCGTGCTGTCCATCTTCGGCGCCTACACTGCCTCCAACCGTTGCGACAGCTTCTGGGTCCGCTTCGACGCCCCCGACCCCAAACCTCTCGGCGAGAACTTTCGCAGGCTGTTTAGAGCCCTGCTTGCGACTTGGACCACCACTGAGAATGTTTACGACAGACATCAGTGGGCTATGCGCCCCTTGCTGATTGGAGCCTTCCAGGTCTACATTGTCCTCGCCGCCACCATTGGCATGCGCTTCCGTTACCGCATCCTCGTTCACGTCCTGTTGGTTGCCTACTGGTTGTTGAACACTGGAGCTCTGACCGGTACGTCATCGCCCCTATTCCCCAAATGCACTCCACCCGCATGCGCTAACCAACCGTCCCTTGCAGAAACCTTCGGTGCCAACCTCGCCCTCGGTACCCTTCTTGCCGAGCTCTCCCAGCACCGTCCCACCCAAAACTTCATCGCCAAGTACCAACGCATCCTCTCTTACATCATTGTGCCCATCATCCTCCTCATCGGTGGCTACGTCGGCTCCTACCCGCACGAGCATGAGGACTGGGCGCCCTGGTCTCTGCGTCTGCATAAGTTCCTCGTCGATCCTGCCGGTGACGGTTCGCGCGGCTCGTTCATTGTTCCTAAGGGGTCCAATGCCGGTCGCCGCACCAGCGCCTTCATGATCCAATGCGTCGCCGTCTCCATCTTCCTCTCCCCGGCCTGCAGAACCTGCTCTCGCACCGCCTTCTCCTCTGGCTCGGTCACCACTCCTTCGCCGTCTACCTCACCCACGGCACCATTCTTAGGACTTTGGGCATGTGGATCGTCTATGGTATTACCGGTCAGCCGTGGGAGGACCCCGGAAAGAACGAGGACGGATCGCCCAAGGAGCCCAAGTGGTTGCACCCCAAGTCCACGGGCCACAAGATTGCTTCCATTATTATCTTCACTACCGTCACGTACATTGCTGCGTGGGCGTGGATGAAGTGGGTCGATACCGCGTGCGCCAGGGCTACGCAGTGGTTGGAGAAGAAGGTGTTTGATGATGATGAGGGAATTGAGGGAGGAAAGGCTGGAGTCGCGGAAAAGGGATATGCGAATGGAGGTGCCAGCACCAGGGAGCATGCGCAGCCGTTGTTGAACGGGGGTGAGGCGAGAGTGCCTCCTCCTTAAGTCAGCCGTTCGAGAAATGGGTTGACGCATTTAGAGGTGGATGCGGATGCATGTAGAGAGGGAGGAAGTCGAAGGGCATATTCTGGATGTTGTACCACATTTGATACGGAGGTTCATGGTTAGCTGGCGAGCTGGTGAGCTGGCGGACATAAGCCCTTGCGGTCTGCGGGCTTAGAGAGCAAGCCGGAGCGGATCGTCGACAAAGGCAACACCATTCGGCACTGCGCGGAGTAGATCAAAGAAGATCATCATGGCCCGAACCACCGCGGCCACACGCCCACGCAGCCAGCGGCTCTCCATCGCACGCATCGTCATACCACGATATAGAGAGCATGGCCGACATGAGAGCCCGCCAATCATGTATCATTTGGTTCTTCTTTTTAAACTCAATTTTTGTTTCCCTTTTGTTGTTTACACATAAAACATAATTCCTATGTCAAGGACGGAGGTGCATATCATGTACTAGCTCATCCACCGCCAGGAGATCCAGGGCAGCTAGAGAGGGAAGGATCTTGGATATTCAAGAGAAGCAGAGAGCATGGGGAAACATGGAGGAGATACTAACTGAAGCTTTTCGAAACCGATTCCGTGTCGATCATCCTCGTCCGCTATGGTGACCCCTGTGAGCAAGTCTTTTCTGAAGTCGGCTACCTATCGAGAACTTGAAGGGTCAAATCATTGAAGGCCGAATGGATAATCGCCTCAATGCCGCAACGCTGTCAGTTTCAGAACGAAACGGCCAACAAATCGAGAGATCGATGGGTAGATGCAGACCTCACCGATGACGATGCTCTGCCGCTTCCCGCTCCCGGATAGAGATAAGATGGCGTTTTCTCACTCCCGCCAAGGATCGCCAGCCTGCATGGTCGTTGATGTTGTGGAACTTGAGATGGGGAACTGCCTACTAGCCTGCCTCGAACTTGCGTAGGAAAGAACGGTCCGAAAAGATGAGTGAGGGTTTCATGTTGAGAGATGCTAAAATCTTGCAATACTTGTCTTCGCGAGCCTCATAAAGCATCGGCCCACCCGTGCCTTCTTGAAAAGTCGTATCATACCGTAGCTAAGGTACCTAAGAAACTTGGGATCAGAATGTTGCTGCCTACCTCCATGCTTTCGAGCTTCCAGGGCTTGATGGAGGATTTTGTTCTCATCCTGCGCTGACCTCACTTCTTGTGTACGGGAAACCTGTCAATGTCAATGTCAACGCCGGGCGGTCCTAGCTAGTATCACTGACCGAGTGGCCTGGGGGTGTGGAAGGAAGGGAGTGCGCCATCTCATCGTCAAACGCAAACCGTTGACTGCGAGGATAATTGTTGGTCGGATCCTAGTGCTAGATCTAGTTTGAAGGTGTTTGCCTGTTACAAGCAACTCGTTGACATTCATTGATATGTGACACCACATCAAAAAGGGCGGGCCGGGTTCGGGAGGATAGCGGAGGATGCCGGATGCCGAACACGGAGGGAGTCTACGGGAGTCACGTTGAAGTGGAACTACCTACAACCGCCAGAAGAGGCATCTATCTACTCTACCTTGTTCTAGACACACACAACCCCCGAAGACAAAAGTTCGAAAGCCGTGATTGGCGTCGGCATCGACTATTGAGAGACAGAAAGCGAGCTGCACAAAGAAGGAGATGGAAGCTTTCCAGAGGCAGTGACGGGTGGGTGGAAGATGAATGTCCATAACCACGACGGGCGTGATGAACATGATAGATACCTAGATAGATGTGCTCCGACGACGATACTCTAGGGTTAAAGGCTGGAGGTAGGCAAGGCGGAAGTTGAAGGGTTATTAAGCTGGTGTTGTTAGCAGAAGATAGAAGAGCGGGAAGATGGATACAATACATGACTCTTTCCTTCTCTTGCTTTATTTGTACAGTAGGAGACTGGTGAAGTTGCCCTAACAAAAAGGGCAAAACAGCGAAGCAGTCCCTTCCACTCGGTTGGTTCCACGAGACGAACGGGCATGACATGCAGGAATGCAGGAAACGGGTTACACAACGCTGGACACAGCGCTGGATACTGTCTTGAAAAGTCGAGACTTGCATACCCGCGTAACGGAGAAGACGGGGAAATAAACGCAGCGGGCCGTCTTGGAGGCTCTTGGATGTCTTGGTGTCTTGGTCTCTTGGAAGAAGGGAGGTTTCAAGTGCCGTCATAACCGGCCTGGTTCGTGATTGGAATGCTCAGATTGATGGTGGGTTGGCTAAGCGAGGTGACGAAGAGACAAGGGACGATGGAGAAACTTGAGGTTGAGGGTTCATAACACACTTCTTTCTCTTACACATTTACGATGACAAGCCCCGTTGGGCCTAACTTGTTTACCGTGAACAAGCTCCCATTGCATCGTGCGTTCAACGTCTGGTCTCCATGATATAGTTCTAGAAGATCATGCCTTTGGGCCGAATAATATTGTGAATTGTAATGATTGATCGGTTTTATAGGCAATCGGATCAGAAGATAGTTGGTGCACTACAATCCTTAGCTGAATAATCGCTCTAACCTGTTAGTATTCCCACTTCCCCCATACCCACGGCAACTTTTCGCTTTGCACAAACAACTCACCTCACGGTACATGTAAGCTCCCAATGAGTTCGATAACCTCTATATATCGATTCGTATTCCCTTCAACGCAATACGGGGGTGGGTGGCTTGATGAAGTAAGTGTCAGACATGACTTACCACACATCAACCGATGATAGGAATAAACCACGACGACTTGGACCCGCGGGTATCAAGAGACTCGCTACATCGGGATAAAAGAAGATCAGGACCTGGTTTGCCGAGATCTCGGAGGTAAGGCAGATAGATGTACCGCTTGCCTCGCTGTCAGCCCCGTGTTTGCTCTGATTTCTCCTTCTTGGTCAGCTCTGCGTTTCTGCTCCGGGTTTCTGCTCCAATCTTTTGATCGGGTTTTATCTTTCCGTGTCGACTTCCGTGTCAGCATCGTGTCCGCTTCCATGTCCGTCCTCGCGTCCGCCTCCCTATTCATCTCTGCATCTGCATCCACATCATCGTCTCCATATTTAAACAGCTTCTCCTTAGCTTTTCACTCTTCTTCTCCCTTTTCCTCGTAATGTTATTTCTTCTTCTTCTTCTTCTTCTTCTTCTTCTTCTTCTTCTCTCTCTCCTCTCTCTCTCTCTCTCTCTCTCTCTCTCTCTCTCTCTCTCTCTCTCTCTCTCTCTCTCTCTCTCTCTCTCTCTCTCTCTCTCTCTACCTTACCTCTACTCCATCCGTCCCTCCTCCGACCTCCTCGTCTCCGCCGGACCTCTTCTTATCTCCTCCTCCCCTCCCCGGCACTTTGATCTACTGTGAGTCCCCTTCCTCCATCCTCCTTCCAACACCAAGCATCGCCTTGCCGGTTGCCCTTGGTCTCCCTCGTCACCTTGCGCCTGGGGTGAGGATACTGGCAGTGTTCCGGCTGCAGTCTGCATCTACCTACGTGCTCCCAAGCCCCAGTCTCCGATAGGACTCGAGGTAACCTCGACTAACACGCTCTATCTTTGTCCAGCTAGACTCTTCCTCTAGAAGGGAAGTGCTTGCCTGCCGCTCAAAGTTCAAACCCCCAAAAAGGTACGTGCATTCCCCGGACCTGCCTGCCCCGCTACTAAGGAGCCGCCCACTCCACTTGTCTGCAGGGACAGCTCTGCAACGGCCCACCATTTCTCCTTCTGTTTTGCTTGCGTTCGCGGCCTTCCATCACTTCCAAATACCTACAAAACTATCATTTCAGTTTCTACCAAAGAAAGCACGTCTGTACTGTTGGTCCTGAAGATTGTACTCACTCCACTGTTGGTTCCCTTCCGTCTGCACTTTACCCCGTGGCTTACCTAATGCTCTTGTCGTTCTTGGGGTGCAGCACCAGCTGGAAAGCTTGAGCTTTTCTTTGTCACATTGCCCACTGACTTTGGCCAGTCTTCCCCCAACACCCTCGGTCATCAAAGTCAAACTATCCCAACACAGCTCTCCCCTCCCAACGTGAACAGCTAGTACCTGTCTACAAGCTAGGTGGTTCGTCTACTAATCCCATCTTCCTCCACCCAGATCGAACTTCTACTCCTCCAACCTCTCAACCCATCCATCTACTTCCAAGCTTCTCAGAAACACATCATGTCTGCCAGCCAAGACTCCATTCCCGCCAACGGTGGCAGCATCGAGGAGAACCTCGATAACCTCAACATCAATGACAGTGAGACTCGCCTCGGTCCCGATGGCGAGCCCGCTCCCAGAACCGACGAAGAATACTCCCAGACCACCCTTACCCTGAGAGCCATCGTGTCTTCCAAGGAAGCTGGTGTGATCATTGGCAAGGGCGGCCAGAACGTTGCCAACCTCCGTGACGAAACTGGCGTCAAGGCCGGTGTTAGCAAGGTTGTCCAGGGTGTCCACGACCGTGTCCTGACCATTACCGGTGGCTGCGATGCTGTCTCCAAGGCGTACGCTGCTGTCGCTCGCTCCCTTCTCGAAGGCGCCCCGTCTGTTGGCATGGGTGGCGTCATCTCTGCCAACGGTACTCACCGTACGTTTGAGCCCATTGGAATGACTTGAGCACCGCTAATCTTCTGTGTAGCCCTCAAGTTGCTCATCTCCCATAACCAGATGGGCACAGTCATCGGCCGTCAAGGTCTCAAGATCAAGCACATCCAGGATGTCTCGGGCGTTCGCATGGTTGCGCAGAAGGAGATGCTGCCGCAATCAACCGAACGCGTAGTTGAGGTGCAGGGTACCCCCGAGGGCATTGAGCGCGCTGTCTGGGAGATTTGCAAGTGCCTGGTTGACGACTGGCAGCGGGGCACCGGCACCGTTTTGTACAACCCTGTTGTCCGCGGCCCTGGCGCACCTGTGAGCGGCGGCGAACGCAACTATCCCCAGGAAAGGTCCTACGGTAGCTCTCGTGTCACACGGACTGGCAATGGTGCCGATTTCAGCAGCAACAGTGGTGGACGCGCCTACAACCGCCGCTCTGATTCCGATGCCGCCTCTCGTGGCCCCCCTACCCATGATGAGAATGGCGAGGAGATCCAGACACAAAACATCAGCATCCCCGCTGATATGGTTGGCTGCATCATTGGACGCGCTGGCTCCAAGATTAGCGAGATCCGCAAGCAGTCTGGTGCGCGCATCTCGATTGCCAAGGTGAGTGATGACCCTTTATTACGTTAAAGGTGAAACGGTTATTAACACGATTGATAGGGTCCCCATGACGAATCCGGCGAGCGCATGTTTACCATCATGGGCTCTGCCAAAGCCAACGAGACTGCTCTCTACCTCCTTTACGAGAACCTGGAGGCCGAGAAGACCCGCCGCTCTCAGCAGGCTCTTGAGCCTTCCGAGTAGGGTGCGGAGGAATCTTACGCCCCGAGGCTGTAGTCAACGAGACTCCTCTTTGCTGAAAGAGTTGATGGCGGCAATATTTCAGTTATTCGACCACATTACCCAGGTTATTCTACTATGAAGGAGTACGCTCGGCAGCCCCCGTTGCGGATCGTTCCAGAAATGACAGTCGCAAGGCTCGAAATTGTGGCAGGAAGCACGACATGACGACAATTTCTTGATCAAAAGCATATTCGACGGACTACCTTTGGCTCTCCTTTCCGAACTCGGCCATTCCTTTATTCCGCACTGTACTCGGCAACACTCCCCTTATCTCGCCAGTTCACACATTTTTTGCCTAGACAGGGCTGGCTAAGCCGGCCTGGGTGGTTGAATTTGTTGTGCAAGGGCACTCAGACTTCAAGCCTGGCCTTTGAGTTGGTGTTGTTTGTACTCACGAGCCGATTCCAGCATCGTCATGGAACTGTCAATCATGACCACAGCAGACACCCATGCGATCCCTTACACCGTTCAACATCTTTCCCGCATCTCATAACGCGAGCCTGTTGGTGTGCTTTCTCAGCATTCAGCACTACCGCCGAGGCCTCTCCCATCTCTTACACCGAATCTTTTCTACTGCGCTGATACATACGACAGTCCCGAAATGTCCATGATCAGGAGCTATACCATTGTGCTTGGATCTGGCCAGAACGTCAACCGCCTGTTAAGTAGGGGTTCAAACCTACGTGGTAGTTAATTAGGCATAGATAGCACAAAAATTGAAGGGCAATAAAAGTCGTCTTTTGGTCTTTGTTTACTGTGTGTCGTGCTGTGCTATCTTGGCATCTGTGACTCGTATCTGTGATGTTGACAGCACCATGAGTAAAATACGTGTCTTGCTCAATATAGGATTTTATGTCCCCGGTTTCGGCACATTTTTGTTGAGGGTGAGTTGCCCCTGGAATCTTACGCTAGACCCCGCAAAAAGGGCAGTGAAACTGGCGGCGCTAGCGTAGGCCGACCCCTGGTTCCCACCAAATAAGGTTAGATAGCATAACGCACATGGTGATTACGGCGCATGTGCCGGCCAATATTGACAAGATGACAGGGCTGGCGGCGCGGAATGGGGCATGGAGCTAGATGGAAAAGCCACCCTGTCCGGATGACGGATCTACACAACATACAAGAACCTTTACGGACAGCTTCCTCTGTGATTATTTCTCAATGAGATTTCCTTGACCAGCACTCCCCAATTGATTGAGCAGTCAACTATTTTTAGACGTCTGGTCTATCCTCGAGCATCTTCGACGGACTTTTGCTCATATCATCTCCCTTTCCTCCCTTCCTCCCTCCCTCGCTCGTCAAGGGCAATCGAGTGTTACATAGCATCACACGCCCGCAAACCACAACAACACAGCCGGCCACGAACACCACACATACCTATCTTAACTGTCATGGCTCGCGCAAAGCAGCCCACGCCCGTACGGCGTGAGGTGTCCTCCGAATATATCAGCAAAGCCGACAGAAAATCACCATCAGTTGAGGAAGCATCAGTTGTCCCCGGCGTAAACGGAAGTGTTAAGCCGTCAACAACATCGTCGTCATCATCCATTGCGGTACCAATGAAGAAGGAAGCCGGCGTCATCACGCTCCTCATTGACGTGGCGGGTATTTACATTTCTTTGTAAGTTCCATTGTCTAGCGCAACCTAACAGCAGAAGGAAGGGTCCCAGAGCAATATCGGCTAACACAGAGTGTGCGATTAGCCTAACCTGGGCCTACCTCCAAGAAAAGCTCACCACAACACAATACGGCGCCTCTCCCCTTAGCAATTCCAAGGATTCTCAGGGGGGCGAACGCTTCAAATTCCCCGTCTTCCTCCTAACAATTCAATCCCTCTTCGCCGCCCTCGGCGGCAAGCTCTTCACCGTCCTCTCCACCCCCCGCGGCCAACCAGTGCCCGCCATGATCCCCTCGCGCGCCATCCTCCCTCCTCTCTTGCTAGTAGCCTTCACCAACGCGCTCGCCGCCCCCTTTGGCTACGCCGCCCTGGGACATATCGATTACATCACGTACATTCTCGCCAAAAGCTGCAAGCTTCTGCCGGTCATGTTCTTGCATATCACGCTCTTCAGAAAGAGGTATCCGCTTTACAAGTACCTGGTCGTGGCGGCCGTGACGGCCGGCGTAGCCGTCTTCACTCTTCACTCGGGCTCGAAAAAGCACAAGACCTCTAGTCATTCGGGCCAAACAAGCTGGGGATTGCTGCTGTTGGGCATCAACCTGCTGTTTGACGGACTCACCAACAGCACGCAGGATTACATTTTCCAGACATTCCAGCCTTACACAGGGCCGCAGATGATGATGGCCAATAACTTGCTGTCGAGCGTGATCACGGGCGGGTATCTCGTGTTGAGCCCCTGGCTGGTGAAGACGGGGCTTGGTGAGTGGTTTGGCATGGCCGCTGCGACGGGCAGCGAAGGGGAGCTGGCGAGCGCGCTGGCGTTTTTGGCGAGACATCCCGAGGTTTGGAGAGATGTGTTGGGGTTTGCGGTTTGTGGGTGTGTTGGGCAGGTTTTTATTTGTGAGCATTTTTTCTTTTTTCGTTAACTCGATTTATGTCCTTTACGCTCCTCCCCCTTTCAATCCCCTCCATTTTCCTTGATCAAGCCTGACTAACATATACGACCTAGTCCACACCCTTTCAACTTTCTCCTCCGTCCTTCTGGTCACCGTCACCGTCACCCGCAAGATGTTCACCATGATTCTCTCCGTCGTCGCTTTCGGCCACCGCTTGTCTCAAATGCAATGGCTCGGCGTCGGTCTCGTGTTTGGCGGTATCGGTGTCGAGGCCGGCATTGCGAGACGTGAGAAGTTGGCCAAGGAAGAGGCGAAGAGGAAGGTTAAAGCTGCTTTGGGGAAGGCGCAGTGAATTATTTGGTTTGCTGTGGTTACCTTAGTTGTAGGGTTTGGGATGGAAGGTGTGCAGTTGATGTAGGTCTATACCTGATATGTAGATGGTGCGAGATGTTCTAGACGGCCGGTTTGCGACGTGATGTTCATAAATATCATGAAAAAACATGCGCCGATTTGAGTTGTTTGTATATATAGATTAGAGCTTTTTTGTACGATTATGTTTTGTCAGATCCACTTTTGAGGGAGTCCAGGGGATTTCTCTTCTCATATACATATGTATACAGGGAAGAAAGACGAGTATATACCCAGACAGCATGTCTGCAAACACCCGTTGCTTCGGAGTCTTAAGGCAGATATATAAAAAGTCGAATTGTGTTTAGACAGACTTTGAAGACACTCGACTAGAATGCCACATAAATTGACTCCAACCTTGATCTCTCATTATCTTCGTGTCACTGTTTGCTTCACACACATGTCCCCATCCAACCCATCATCCATAGAGCGTCAATCCCAAGGTCCCCGACTCTTTGTGAATCGTCTCTCCTAATGTACACGTTCCTGTACTTTCCTCGTTTTACAAAATTCCGCAAAAATTATTTCCGTCTGTAGATAACTGAGTGCTTTAACATTTTCCTATTTGCCCAGATAGACAGCACGGCACCAGGCAATCGTAGATGGACCAGTAAATAGCTTGTATGAGTTCCTTCTTTCACCATGTAAATCGGAACACATCCGTTGCCCTAAGGCCTTTCCCTCCTCCCACGGTGTGTGCGTGTCTGTAGGGCTGAAACAACGACCAACAAACAAAAGAACAACCAAGAAGCGGCTTAACAGCGCCAAAACAAACATGAAGAACAAAGGGAAAAAGAATAAGTGGGCCACTCAATCAAGGGAAAATTCGCAAGAAACGAAAAAGGTCGGGACAAACGTGCATAGCATTTCACACCCAGACCCCGAGACCTTGACACCTTTTTACCAAACCACACCACCAAACCAGCATACAAAACAAAAGAACATAGTTCGCAAGATAACGCCACCTGTCAATGCTTGGCATAGTAATGCTGAACCAATGGGTACAGTAATGATATAGATACAAAGGATGGTTTTCCCTGCAGAGACTGATTGATGACTGTCCAGCGTCCTCATAGCAGTTCATCGATAGACCGAACAATAGGGGTTTCCCCCTTTGTTGGTGGACTCCTAGGGTCTGCCACTTGTTTGGGCCGCCCGAATGGATAGGAAGGGTCGCGGGGGAACATGGTTTCCCGAGGCGAGAACAACCCTTCGCCTGGTGTGGGCGGTACCTCCACGAATTGCATACCTGGAATGCCGGCAAAGGGCTCATGAAGAGGGTTCGCTGTCATTGTCTCGGCACGCGGCGACATGAGTGCGGCATCTTCGTTAAAGCCTCGCACGACTGCTACGTGCCTTTCTGGAGGAATGACGTCCTTGTTCACCTTGCGCTTGGGCGGTGCTCCCAGTGTTGGCGCTGCTCCTAGTGTCAACGGCACAAACCCGAATCCTGCCTGTGAACCGAACCGATGAGCTGCAAAACCAGGGGATGGGGGCGGCTTGGAGAAGGCTGCCTCGAGAGGGGGGCCAAAGCCAGGTGACTTCGGAGGTTCTGCCAACGTGGGAGCAAAAAGTCCACGAGAGGGTTTCGGTTTCAACAGGGGTGGTGGGGTGGACGACCTTCCCCTATCCGGCTCGGGAGACATGATGCTCAAGTTAATGTTAAAGCGACCGAATCTTCCAGGGTCCTTCTCATCTTCCTTGATAGTCCACGAAAAACTTGAAGGAGCGGACGATGGACCTGGCGATATTGGCTCTCCTCTCTTTGGTGTAGAGTGCCCTCGGCCTCGTGTAGGACTGATCTCGGGTGTGGCGTGTTTCGAAGCAACATCCTCCCTTGGCAATGGCGCAGTCAATGGCTCTTGTTTTACCGGTAGGTCTATGTTGTCGACTGACAAAGTCATCCTGTGCCTTGAAGGGCTTCTTCCCAGGCGGGGCTTAAAGCTCGAGGTCGTCAACTTCCTCTTTGAGACCTCTTTCTGAAAATCTTGCAAGCAGTACATCAGCCTCATGTTGGGGCTGATCCACCTGCTTTTGGCCTGCGCGGCATGATAAGCATCGTTGACAGTGAGATCAGGGTTCTGATACATTCCGTAGGCGATGATCAAACTCGCTGATCGACTGGCGCCCTGCTGGCAGTGAATGAGAACTTTCTTGCCTTCCTTGGTCCTCTTATCGATCATCTCGCAAAGCGTCATCAAGTCATTCCCAATATCCGTGTTGTGATCCCATGGGATGTGAATGTACTCCGGTTCCTTGAAAGACCGAGCCTTGGGTGTAGTTGGTGTATCGCTATCCGGGATAAACTCGAATGCCGTGGCGAAGCTGCAAGTGGTAGCCGCAGTATCAGGCACTGGGGAGTCAATATCTGGTTTCTCCTGCGAATCCTTTTTGCTTCCCATGCCAACCTTGAACGGGTTCGAGACCTCGCGTGCCACGTTGATGACCACATCAAAACGAGCAGCTTCCTCGGCGGTGGGCTCAAGATACAGGAAAACACTGTCGTTATAAATGCATACCGGCCCATCGGGATAGCCTGGGGACTTCTGGTCCTCGTTATTCTCCACTTCATGGTACGGGTCAACCTCGTATATCGCCTTGTTCGCAACTTGTGCCTTGATTGGCGCCTCTTCTTCCAGAATGGTAGAACTTAAGCCACTGAGTGCCATTGGTCTTGATGGCCTGAAAAACTCTGAAAGTCCGGATTCGTTGCGCTGCAATGGAGGTGGTATTGTCATCCCCCCTGCTGGGCCAAACGTTGCGGACTTCAGGCCAGAGAGCATGTGTGGGGTTGAGGTGGAATGCTTCAACGCACGGCGCTGGAGAATAGGAGGGACCGAAGGTGAAGGGGGCACCTCTAATGTTGTGCGGCTCATCAAGTCTGAAGTATTCGTCTTGAGGATGAGCAAGCTTGGTTTCCGCTTCATGCCAGGAATCGTTGGCTTGATGAAGGATGGAGATGAAGGCTCGGAAACCAGAGAGGAAGCAAGGGAGTTGAAGGGTGGTTGAATCGATAGCCCCTTCATGTTCTTCGGTCTCCGCGGCGCGGGCGAGGTCATGGGACGTTGTGCAAGGTTGGGATCCGATACCGAGAGACTGGCCAGGCGAGACAAATCGCTTGTGAAGGATTGTGTTGGCGCCGCTAAGGGGGAAAGAGGTATTAGATTTACTGGCGAATCTGGGGAAGATGATGGAGAGGGATCGGAGAGATCTGAGGAATCCGTGCACGACACCGTCGTGGTAGGCGAGGATTCGGCGGACTCGGTTGCTCGACTTGAGGTGCTGTTGTGATGCTTGTGAGCAGCATCCGCATGCATTGCATTTGGCCGTAGTTGGGGTGGCTGTGTATCGCCGGGTAGTTTTCCGGAGTCGAGGCGCATCACTGACTGCGGGTCGACCACGGTGATGGCACTCTGTTGGTCCATACACTCTGGGCCCAGGTCATACACGGACATGAACGAAGGAATCTGATCCTCATACAACCGCCGTGTCGTGGCCGAAGGCATGTTCAATGCCCGGTGTGTAAAAGACAACGTCAACTGTGGCCGTCGTGCTGGTGTGGGCCTAGGACTTGACCCTCGCTTGCTGCGGTCGAATCGCAACCACGTACTGATATCGGTGGAAAAGGATCCTGTCGGTTAACTTGTCCGAAAAAAACAAGCAAACCACTCGTAGAAATCCGCTGCTGGAAGAATAATAAGAACAAAGACAAATGAATGAGTAAGGCCGTAAGTGTTGGTTAACAGCCAAAATTTGGGCGAGGCGGGACAGCACTGCTGAATCCTTCTTCCTTTCCCAACTGTAATCGACCTCCAATCGTTATCCCACCCGAGGGAAAACAATCAAGCCTTTGCCCTGAACAATGGCGCCGGGCAGCGAGGTAGAAAAGAATTATGTGAATGCGCAGATGGAGAGCGCAGGTTGAAGTCGTTGCTGGTCGACAGGCAAGTCGCAATGATGAGCTTCGTGGGTATCGAGATCGGACGAAAAGAGAACGATTGCGCGAGGACGGACTGGTGATCAAGGAGCCTTGGGCGTCAAGACATTATCATTATCGGGTATGTCGAGAGGTTGCCGGGTCACAGCCTCCAAGGCGGCAGAAGAAGAAGAGGCGGTCGTCGGGTCGTGGTCGATTGACAATCGAAGGCTGAAGGGAAGACAAGACGGAAGAGGGGAAGAAGGTTTCTTTGTCCTGGGCTTCCACTTGTGAGTGCCAACCTCCAATCCACTGTTCCTTTGGCGTGCGCTGCGCGGTCCAAGCTCTTTTAGCGTCTTGATACTCGAACGGTATCTCTTCCTTGTCGGTCGGGTTCGAAAGCTGAAATGCGTAGGAATTGAAGGGTGGGAAAGATGTGGAGGAGAAGAGGAGATCAGGAATTGAGGTGGAGGATGTTGTTGAATTACGAAGGAGGGTGGCCAGAAGGGAAATGGGAATGGCGCAAATTCAACGAATTGGAAGAGGCGAGGGTGGTATTGGGGACAGGAAAGGTAAAGGTGGGGAAAAAAGGCGCCGAGGGAACCTTGAAGCGACGGGACCTCAGTCAAGCCCTTGACTTCTTCCACTTTTGGCGTACCGGGTGCCGGTGTTGAAGAGAAGAGAAGTGGGTGGAATTGTGAGGTTGTGTTGAAGGGAAATGTGAACAAGAGAACAAAATTGGAAGCAGCGTGCAGAAAGCAGACAGCGTGCGGACTCACTGCAGAGGATGCAGAGGGAGTGGGAGACGCAGAATGGAACGGCACGCTCCAGGCTAGAACGACCTGGGACGGAGTGCCAAAAGTGCTTCGCTGCTGCGCTGCACCCACGCAGGCACCTTAGGTTGAGAGGTTATGGTAGTTCCTGCCACAACTCTCTCTTGACACTCTCACACTGTAGGCAGGTACCTACACGGTGGGACCAGGGCAAGAACCTGAACAGGAACAGGGAACACTGGTCGTCGGCGGCGC